AGCGCCGCGCCGCGCCGGGCCGGGCCGGGGGCCAGCGGGGCTGGGCTGGGTTCGGGCTCACGCCGGTTCGCTTGGTCCCGCAGACGGTGGGGAAGAGCAGCAAGATGCTGCAGCACATCGACTACCGCATGCGCTGCATCCTGCAGGACGGGCGCGTCTTCATCGGCACCTTCAAGGCCTTCGACAAGCACATGAACCTCATCCTGTGCGACTGCGACGAGTTCCGCAAGATCAAGTGAGGGGGGGCCGGGCCGGGCGCGGGGGAGGGGCTGCCCGGGGGGAGGGGCTGCCCGGGGCCTCACGCCGCCCCCCTCCCCCCAGGCCCAAGAACTCGAAGCAGCCGGAGCGGGAGGAGAAGCGCGTCCTGGGGCTGGTGCTGCTGCGGGGAGAGAACCTGGTGTCCATGACGGTGGAGGGGCCGCCCCCCAAAGACGTGAGGAGCGGGGGGCCACGTCCTGGCCGCGAGCCCGCTCCCCTCGGGCTGCGCGGTCTCCCCTCTCTGGCCCCGGGAGGCCGGCGGGCCGCTGAGCCCCCGGGGTCCCTGGGCTGTTCGCCACATTGATTGTTCCTCCTGGTTTTTCAGACTGGCATCGCCCGTGTGCCCCTGGCCGGAGCTGCAGGAGGACCCGGCGTGGGGAGGGCAGCTGGGAGAGGAGTGCCGGCCGGGGCCCCCATGCCCCAGGCTCCAGCAGGGCTGGCCGGCCCTGTTCGGGGAGTGGGAGGACCGTCCCAGCAGGTGAGATGCTGGGGCTCCACCTTCTGCTGAGACGCCCGGTGCTTAGCTGTGGCGTGCCCCGAGGACCAGGTGGCACCAGGCTGCCGTGGTTCGCAGTAGCTGTTAGCTAAGCTCTTGGGCAGCGGTGCTTCATCCCAGGCCCCCCCACACACGCAGAGCACGCGTTGAAGGAGGGTGCAGCTTTCTGCACAAAACTAATTTAGTTTCACTCTGTACCCCCACAACCACCAGTCGTCTGTAGGGACCCGTGACCCCGTATGCAGGTGGGAGACGGGGCACTGCATCCAAGCAGTGAGCAGAGGTGACGTTCATCTCGCACCCTGCTGGCAGTCGGGGCAGCGCCCCGCGGAGCATTTCCGTGAAGTCTTTTCTTTCGGTTACAGGTGATGACGCCCCAGGGCCGTGGAACAGTTGCTGCAGCTGCTGCTGCGGCCACTGCTCGCATAGCAGGAGCCCCTACGCAGTACACACCAGGCCGTGGGGGGCCTCCACCACCCATGAGCAGAGGAGCACCTCCTCCGGGTAAGGAACTACTCTGCTTAAAGTCTGGGGCAATACAGGACCTGTGGTGCTTGGCTGGACTGGTGATGAATTGCAACCTCATCTGAACCCAGTGATGAGTTGGTGTTAAGCAGGATTACTCTGAAGTCCAGCTGGGACTACACATCTCATCTAGGAAAGGAGCAACCATCAAGCAAAACGTGTTGGGGGCTGGGTAGGGTACATACCCTCCATGTTGGCCTGCAATTCTGTGCTGGTCCCTGCTGGCTAGCCCGACCCAAGGCCTGGGACTGACCCCTTCTGTCCTTGTAGGAATGATGGGGCCACCTCCTGGCATGAGACCGCCCATGGGTCCACCTATGGGAATGCCACCTGGCCGAGGGGCACCAATGGGGATGCCTCCCCCAGGAATGAGACCGCCTCCCCCTGGCATGAGAGGTGAGTGGAGGGGTCATCTGCCTCCCCCTGGCATGAGAGGTGAGTGGAGGAGTCTCACCTTGGCTCTGGAAGGTGGGGAGCATATTTTGACTGTGTGCTGAAGCAGCATGGCTCTAGGCAAATGCATTGTTTCAGCCCAGTGCAGCAGACCAGAGCCATGTTCTCCTGGTCGGGCACCTGGGAGGCTGCTCTCAGGCTTGCCACAAGGAGTCTAGGCCTCCTGGAGGAAGTATTATAGGAGAGCCCCAGTACTGGAGACTAGCCTGGTGGCTGCCATTGTGCCTCAGATGTGTTGTTATGAGTAGACTTTTAAACCAGGCTCTTTTTCCCTGTGTCCAGGTCCCCCTCCTCCTGGCATGCGCCCACCCCGACCCTAAGATGTGCTGTGTTGGCGTTAAGTGAACAGAACCTGTCGCTGGCTGCTCCTGCCCAACTGTGTCTGCGTTTCACTGTGTATATTTCCTATTTAGCGGCTGTAAGATTTGTCCCTTTTTAATAAAGTAGGAAACTTTCTAATGGCTGGGCAGTGTCTTTCTCTTGGAGTGGGGTGTTCCCTAGCGAGGGAATGCAGACTGTATGGGAGCTGAGCAAGCATTCTGCAGCCTGTTGTACAGTTCTCCCCTGGGGGAGGGGAGGCCTTATAGCATGGGGTGTTTAAGAGAGACCTGAATGGTCTGCAACTAGAGTGACAGCTTGAACAGCGGGAACAGCAGTCAGATCAACTTGTCCTGCAGCTCAGAGTGCCAACAGAAATGGCCCTGCTTCTACTTCACACAAGTGATAAGGGAACTCGGTGCCCCGGAGAGGGCTGTCTCCTATGCCAAGCAGCTAAGGAGGCAGCATGAATGGGGAGGCTCCCATTCTACCCTGCACCCTTCAATCACCACACTGCGAGATGAGCAGGCTGGGCAAACACATAGCCCTTGAACTGCTCACTCCCTTTTCAACCCCCACCTCTCCTCCATACACATGCATCAGGTTGCAAGCTCACTTATCTCTGCAATACCCCAGGGCCTATGACCTGCTTCCAGGCAGGAGGAAGAGGCTCACTGCCCTTCTCTGTGTAAGAAAGGCCCTTGAGCAGCAGGCACTCTCCTCTGCTGCAGTAACACTACAAGAAGGCCAGTCTCAGGCATGGCTCACCTGTAAGACCCTTCTTACTACACTGTAGATGCAGCCGCTGCTGCTGGGCAGAGGTTGACAGTAGGTGCCTTACCAAAGATGGAAACCAGAGGCAGAGATCTGCCTGTTTGTGGAGCTGCTACCAAACTATTACCTGCAGGACAACAGGATTGCTGCAGCTAGGTCAGGGGCATCTTGAACGGTTTTGCTTTAGGCCCAGTCTCAGACTAGCAGCTGTTACAGACAAGCACAGCAGACTATCACCAGCATAGAGAGGTTGACCCTTTACTGTATGGCTGCAGAAGATACAGTTTTCCCCTGGGGCTCTTCACCAGGTGCTCCTACAGTTACAGCACATGAAGTTCAGCCCAGAAGAGAGGCTGCGTGACTTCCGCCATCACGAAGGGAAGCAGGATTCTTGATGGTGAGGCCCACTGTCTCCTGTGGCAGCATATCCCAGGTAATGCTCTCAACAGAACATCTGTCACTTCCTCTTGTACCTGCAGAAGGACCGATGCTGAAGTCGCATCTCACAGAGCAGCCCTTGTCCCCGTGGGTGCAAGCACCAACCGCCTGCCGAGGAGCAGCATGCTACTGAAGGTACTGTTTGCAGCTGCTCCTCAGCTGGGGGCCTCTCACCCTAGAGCAGCAGGGCTGGCTCTGTCCCAGCTTAAGCACAAAAGATGCTCCTCTGCTGTGGCCCTTTAACAGGCTGATAGGGGAAGGAAGATGAAGACAACATGGGATGGGAAGCCTTGAGAACACACGCAATGGTGCCCTCACCTGGACTTGGATTTGAAGTTTCCTCCTTTTCTGCGATGGGCAAGGCCCAGCCGCTTCCGCTCTTCAAACGAGGGCCTGCAAGGAGAGCACCATAAGGTAAAGCGCAGCCCCAGCCCATGGCACAGCTCAGTTACCACCCAGAGGGTCCACATTTCACCTGCCATAAGCAGCCAGTCATGCCCCTTGCTCACCCTCTGCTACTGTCCTGTTCCCTGGCAAAGGTGGGGTTTCCCACCCACCCCCTCATTCCTCGAAGGGCTTTACAGATGTGGCAGGGGCCTGCTGAGCAGAGGTGCTCACTGTCCCCCATGAGGTACCATGGGGAGGTGGAGCAACTCCCAGCACTCCCTGGTGCCCTTCAGAGAAGGGAGAGGGGGGCGGGCTCTCTGGGGAATGGTGTCCCCTGCCTCTAGGGCTGTGCATGCCCTAGAGCAGAGTTACCCAGCACGATACTGCTTCAGGGCCTTCCTGCTGGTGTTAGTGAGCTCCTCGTCGAATACAGATGACTTCTTCTTCTGTTTGGGGCCTGAGAGAGAAACAGCAACAGGAAGAAAAGTCAGCCAGGCGGCGCAGAGGGGCACAATGCTGGCCCGTTACCAGGCCCAGGGCGTGACTTGCATTGCCATGGGAAGGCAAGGCCAGGCACCCCAAAATCTGCATAGCCACCAAGACACAAGCTCTTCCTCCCACCTCCAGGCCCCCACTGCGTGGCACTGCAGACTGAGCGTGGCCAGTTACACTGCACCCACCCAAACAACTGGCATGGCCTTAGCCTACACCCACAAGCACAAGGAGCCCTGCTGCCCAGAGCCAGCGTGCACACCCCATGTACAGCTATAAGGACCCAGCAAAGGGGATGTCTCCTGAGCTGTCTCTGCAGAAAAGTAGCAGCTCTCTCCTCACCTGTTGCTGCCAAGGGCTGCTCCTCTGGCAGGGCTCGGGCTCGCTTCCCTCTGCGGGCCCTCTTTGCCACTCGCTCTGCGTACATCTGTGACTTCAGGATTTCAAACTGCGACCTCTCCTCTGGCTGCAAGAGATGGACAGTCATCGACTCCCATCCTGGGGCAGGGCGCACACCAAGCCACCCCAACTCAGCCCCCTGCCTCTCTGCTCACCGTCATCTCGCTTTTCTTCTGTGTGTCCTGCATAAACTTCTTCCTTTTCTTCTTGCCTCTCAGTGCCAGGTCAAACTCCTGAAGGGCTTTAGCCACTGAAGACAGACAGAGTGAAAAAATAAGTGGAAGTCCAGAAGAAATACGCAGCAGGAACAGGCCATAGGCCCCAAGCCTAAGCACCCTCAGTTCCTGACTCACGTTTCTCTTTCTTCCTCTCCTCTCGAGTCTGAAACCAGCTCCGCTCAGGCTCCTTGTCTGCCTTCTCCTGGTTTGCCTTCTCCAGTTGCTGCTTAGCCTTGTTAATCTGTGGGATGTTCCCAAGTAGGATTGAGCTCAATCGCTCAGCTGAACTGGGAAGCTATTCTCATTCCAGTACAGCGCCTGGGGGCTGCACTACGTGGAGCCAGGAGCCAGGTCACAGCACCAGGTGACTGCCGAGGACACACCGAGCCAACAGGAGGTCACGGCCTTCCCAGCTCCATGGAGCAGTTGGGCCAGGAGACTGGAACTGAACTCCACCTTCCTGGGTGCCCCAACCCCCAGCAGATCCCTGCGTGCTTACTTGAGCCTCTGACTGCTGCATCTCACGCTCCTCACGCTCCAGGCGCAGCACCGCATACACATCCTTCTCCAGGGTCTCGATCTTTTCCCGGAACTTCAGGATCACATCTGGAACCACCCAGCAAGAGCTGGCCTGAAACGCAGCTCAAGCGACACCCACCTGCACTCACCACCTCACACCCTTGCTACGCATCTAGCATGTTTTTAATCTGCCACCCACCAGGTCTTCCTGCCTGCACCCTCTAGCAAGAGCCAGCTTAAGACATGGCTCATGCCTGCTATTCACCACCTCCCCCTACCCTCTGTCTAGCCTGTTTGTACCCTGAGCTCCCTGTTCACTCCCTCCACCTTGGCAAGGCACCAACCCTGGGGGAGGATTCTGGCCTTCACTGGCGTCTTGGCCGTCTTCACAATCTCCTTCAGCATCTTGCGTTCCTCCTCACCCACCAGCGAGACGGAGCGCCCGGCTCGGCCCGCCCGCGCTGTCCTCCCCACACGGTGCACGTAGTGCTTTACAGTGTTGGGCATCGTGAAGTTAATCACCTGGATAGGAGAGATGAGTTAGCCGGGGCAAGCTTCTGCAGCTCTGGAGAAACAGAGACTCGCAGACACTCACTGTTTTGACACCCTCAATGTCCAGTCCTCGTGCTGCAACATCTGTGGCCACCAGGATGTCGATCTGCTCATCCTTAAAGCGCCTTAACACAGGCAGAGCACAGGCTGTCACACAGCTGCCTCCTGCCCACCACCCCTCCTCCTTCCAGCTGCCCATGACACCCTACCTTAGGGCCTCCAGACGCTGCGTCTGAGACAAGTTGCCATGCAGCTCCCCGACCTGCAGGCCCATCAGCCCCAGCAGGATGTGCAGCCGGTGAGCCTGCTTCTTGGTCTGGGTGAAAAGCATCACGTGGTCGGGGAAGGTTCGCGTCAGCAAAGCTGGAAGACAGAGGCTAGTCAGCTCTGCCCTTTGCAAACCGTGGACTTCAACTCGCCCACCACCCACAAGGGCTCACCCACCTGACACAATGGCTTCACGGTCCCCTTCTCGGTTGGGTCGGATGCGGATGAATTCTTGCCGCAGGAAGGGAGCCACTTCCGTGTTGCTGTTCACAAAGATCCGGACAGGATTCTTCAGGGACACAGAAGCCAAATCCTTCACCTGCCGAAGCGGAGTGGAGACGTGTCACTACAGTCAGGAAGGAGGAGCCGACTGCTCACCACAGCTTCTGGCCTGGGCTGTCCAGGCCACCTGGCAGCCCGCCCAAGGGCCTTTTCTTACCTCGTCTGTCATGGTAGCGGAGAAGAGCATAGTCTGCCGGTGGTGGGAGCAGAGACGGATTATTTCCTTCATCTGCTCCTCGAAGTACTCATCCAGCATTCTGGAGAGGAGAGAAGCAGTGCGGTGCGGCAGCTGGAGCAATGCTGGCCTCCCCATCAGGACCAGGCACACACTGCTCCCCTGTGATGCTGGAAGCCCCATTGCTTGGGCAGGATGCACTTGCTGGGAATGGACGTGGCAGAGCCAGGCCTGCACCACCCCAGCCCAGCTTACCTGTCAGCCTCATCCAAGATGAGCACCTCAATGCTACTCAGATGGAAGGATGGACAGTTGTGGAGATGATCGATCAGACGCCCGGGTGTGGCAATGAGAACGTCTGGCCCGGAGCGCAGCGCTGCCTCCTGAGTCTTTACATCCAAGCCACCTGTGAGGTGAAATCCCCCGCCATGGACCATGAGCTGTGGAGTAGGGCAAGGACAGAAGCCCCAAACTCACCTCCACCAGGTGAAGGATGCCTCTCAGTGGGAAACTTGGAAATCCCCAGGAGAGACCTCCTCCCCTTCCTGCCCAGCAGACGCGGCTCTAGCCTGGAGCCCTGCAGCCCAAGCAGCTTCAATCGCAGGATTCCCAAGATGCTCGTCTCACCCGCTTGCATTAATGTTAAGTGTAGCCCCGACAGCTAAAACTCCCAGGCCCAAGGATAATAAATACTCACCCACAGTAAGGCAGGTTGTGATGCTGCTGAACTGTGCCAGCTCTTTGGTGACAGAGTGCACCTGAATACCCAGCTCCCGGGTTGGCACCAGAACCAGCACCCGGGTCACAGGAGCCTGACGAGGCTTATAGATCAAGCGCTCCAGCACAGGCAAGATGAAGGCAGCTGTTTTACCTGCAAAACAGAGAGCACCAGCAATCAGCCAACCCCAAGGATCTAACTACTACCACCCAGAGCAGCCTCCTTCCCTCTCTCCCAGGCCCCTACCTGTCCCCGTGGCAGCACAGGCGCAAATATCCTTCCCCAACAGGCCTACTGGGATACAGGCTTTCTGGACTGGGGTTGGCTGCCTGAAGCCAAGTGCTGTGATTGCCTGCCAAGGAGAAAGAAAAGCTAGGCATCTGACCAAGGAACAGGAAATCTCACGTGCAGCTCAAGCAGGATGCAGGAGACAACGTCTCCGGGAGGGCTGGTACTCTCATGCCATCCCCTACAGCCCCTGCCTGGCAGGGAGAGACTGGGACTGGGGGTTCCCACACAGCCTCTCTCCTAGCAGGAGCAGCTGTGAAATCTTCCGTGTTCCCTACGACATTGTGCAGAGGCTGAAACAGTGCAATACCTTTAGCAGCGGGCGAGAGAGGTTCATGTCCTGGAACGACAAGCTGTCGTCATAGTGAGATGCATCTTCAAAAAATCTCTCTGTTTCCTGGAGAAACAAAAACAGAGAGGAAGACTCGAAACAAGACGCAGCACACACAGCCCCTGCCTACCTGCTCTCGCTGGTGCTGAGGTTGGATTCCTTGGGAGGAAAGGTGCTGAACAGTATCATTCTTTCCCCCTCACCCTGATACTTACCACCGCTTCTCCCTTCCCCTTTCTCTTCCGCTCTTTCACCTTGAGGGTATCTGCAGAGAAGGAAAAGCGCTGAGCCTCAAGTGTTGACTGAGAACAGCTCCAGCCAAGCCGGCACCAAGTGCATGTCCCAGGAGGGCGACGCCAAGGCAGGCTGGAAGTGGAATATCAAGCAAGGTCCTTTCCCCGCGACAGAAGCACAGACCACGAGGAAGCGCTGGGGGCTCGTCGAGAGAGGAGGCACCGACTACGGCTCCCTCCTAGTACCTGCTTGTGTGAAGATGCTCTCGTCAGCTGAGGAATACTGGGACTCCACATCCACATCCTCCCCCTCCTCCTCCCTGCTTGCTTCACTCTCTCGTTCTTTATTTTCATCTTCCTTTTCCGCCCCCGTGTCCTCCTCCTTTGTCTTTACTCGTTTTGCATCTCTTTCCTAAATGGAGACAGGGAATCTGTGACCTGAAGGGTGTAAACACGGCTCCAGCCACCCTCCAACCATGTTTCAAAGGTAAACCTCTATGGGAGCGGGAAGAGTAAGAAAAGCAGAGTCCTGTTCTCTGCCCCTGCCCTACGCCTCTCTCACGGTGAGAAGCACTAGGAAGGCGGTTTTCTTCCAGGCTGCTGAGCACCACTGACCTGGGCTTTCCTTTTCCTTCTCACTTTTTCAATCTTCTCATCCAGCGTCGTGGCTGCTCGCTGGGCAGGGAAAGGCAAAGAATTAGGGAAAGCTACAGAGCCCTGCATGGCCTGGCCTGCAGGTCGTCGGGCGCCCAGGAAGGAGGCAACAGGGTCAGGCTCGGTCCGGGAGACAACTTGCATCAAAGCGACCAGGGCCCCCGGGCTGAACTGGCCCCCGAGAAAAGGAGCCTCCCTCCCGCCCCGGCACGCGGCGCCCTTGCTCGCTCCTTCCTCGCTGCGGGAAGGAGGGGACCGGCCCCGGGCCACACTCACCTTCCCCTTGAGCTGCCGCAGCGCCTCGGCCCAGGCCCCCACGCCGCCCCC